TGTACATATATTGGGTTTTATAGGTATAGAATTGTTTGAATTGTTGAGTTGATGAATATGAATCGAATTGATTGTTGGATATGAATTGATATGAATCGAATGCTTTTCATGTTTTCAAATTTCAGTATTTATAATAGGTACTAAGAAAGCGACACGCCCTAAACAGGCATCCTTTGGGGTAGGTAACTGACCTTACTGGTCTTGTCTTCGGTATTTCCGCCAATATCATAAAGTTACTGTTTGTCGCAGATGTTTACTTAACAACTACTTTGAATTTATCCTAAACTATAGACCAAATAAAATAAAATATTCAGAAAAACTACTTAAGAAATATGTACAGTAATATACAAAATAACACAGCACCAAACAAGTATATTTACCACGTCCAAATATAATGCGGGCACCGGAAACGAAATTGGTTTTAAAATTAAGATAAAAATGTAAAGATCAATACCCTCAAAGGTTTTTGCGTCAAAAATGTTCTATACAAAAGTTATTCGTGATGATTCTACTAACAGATTAAGCATTTAAACAAATTTCAAGCAATTTTCTTTGTTTAATAATGCGACAGGGAAGATGTCACAAAAAATATATCTTCGTTTTGCAGGCCATAAAATTCCTGCATACAATTTTTAGAATGTTTGCAAATTTACAAGGCGGTATGGTGTTTATTTGGTAGTAGACCCTTAGATGCATCGGTACAATGTTTAAATTAGTTTATAGAAGTAACGGTTGAAGAAGGATCCTTTACGATCCCGATTTAGTTTCAATTTTATTATGGGGTGTTTTTTATGAGCCTAACGGTTAAAAGTACCGTTTGTTGATTTCTTGATGTGCCGATCTTTTCTCAGATTGTAAACTTCCCTCTTTCCAAAATTTTAAGTTGAAAGCCCGCCTTCTAAATTTGCACCGAATTGTTTCGAAAGGATTAATCACCAATGGTGAAACTAGCCACACCTTTGGTGTTTTCCTCCTAGTTTTAAGTTAGATATAAGATGTGATCAAGGACTTCAGAAGAAGCACATGAACCAAGACTTGCACTTGTGTAATCATAATGAATCATTAGTTGGAGATACTCTGTACATATTTGTAAATATATAATTAAGTTGACTTCGCTGCAAGATTTCTATTTTTTTCATGCAAGCATACAATGAAACTGACTGAATAGGTATTTATAGACGCATTAACAAGGATTGATCCAGAATTTTGAAAAAGAGGGGTTTCACAAAAATTTTGTTTTTTTTCTACTTTTGGATGCATGGTAAGTGTTTTCCTGCTTACGCAAATAAACAGATTGTGTATTTATTGTATTTATTACGCACCCCACTCCTTCCTATCCCGAGCTAATCTTCTCATTTCCCTAAAACTAGAACATCCCACATCTTTAACCAACTGTGAACAGCAACCTAATCTACATTTACCTCTACTTCTCTTAACTCCTGTTTCTGCCTCTAATATGTCTCTAACAAGACCTTCATGTCTGAAAAGGTGTCCTACCAACCTATCTCGCCTATTTTTTATTAACATCCATAGAGTTCTCTGTTCTCCTATTCTTTCTAATACCTCTTTATTTCTAACCTTCTCTATCCACGGTATCCTCATCGATACTGATTAAATTGCCGAGTTAACAATATAATATTAAGACTTGAAGGTGTGGATTTTAGTTCTTCTGATCCCAAGGGGTACGGATCCATAACTCCAGTGGATCTGCTACTACTTTTCGAAGGCACCGTTTTCATTGTAGACTACATATTTATTGTCTTTAATAACGTAGTATTTTGATTGATTTATTTATATTGTTTTTTCGTAAATTATCGAAAGTGTAAACTTAATAGGTAATTGGGTCACTTCAATAATTTCCGAATGTGATGTCTCTAACTAAAGATAATCACTATTTATTAAATTGAATATATATACAAAACTATATACAAAAATGATTTTGGTGGTAACAAATGGTTGGTTGGTTGGTTGGTACTGTCTCGGCGAGACAGCTTGGTCAATCCCTTAAAGGGTACTTACTTACACTGGTAACTGGTAAAAAAACTGGTACTCCGACTTTCTCCTTTGGCGACAAAGATTTCTAAAGGGGGTGAAGTTCTTAGAATCTTTGCCGTTAAAAACATATACATTCAAGCTGAGGGTTCAAATGGTCATAAAAACAGGTACAAAATGTTAGTTTGTTTAGCTTAAAAAACGTATTTCTTTTGCTTCAAAAATGAAAGAGGAAAAAATCGGAATATTTGAAAATAAATATTAATTAAATTTTACTTACTACTATATTTAGGAATTATGCATAAAAAAGGTAAAATACTGCCGAACATATATTAACATTAAATGGCAGCTTCAATATTTTATAAACATCACAGTTATTCAGTAATCATAAACTTAATGTTGCTTTAGATACTTGATAAGGACCGAATATTTATAAAACAGATAACATTGTGTATTTTAAGTTATGAGATTCTTCAGAAGTGGATTTGATTTATTTGACTTTAGTTTGTCAATAAAGGTGATTTTCTTTATTAATAACGGACAATAAAAAACATTCTTAATCTACAAACACATTCTTAGATTATCAAGGGATTAAAGAGTAGTTAATATTAATCAATCTGTTACCCACATCTCATGAATAAAAACGGGTGTATTTTATCGTACCAAAAACACGAATATAATAAGAGGAATAGGCAAAACGCTTAATTTATTTTATCATTTATATGTGCAAGTACTACAAATTTGACTAATTAGATTATTACCGATTCAAAGCACAGTTTGATCCAGATCTGACCGCAGTGGTAGGTAGGCAGGTCAGTCGAAAAAGACATGGTGCTACGATCACGTCGTGGATTGTTCGGAATGGCAACTGCACCACGTACTTATAATACATACGTATGTCGCATGTCGTGCCCAACCTGAATGGTTCAGACATGAGCTCGCACTTAAATTTCCTCCTTTAACTTGACCTACGTGGGTTTTGGATCCTCGATCATTCTTTAATTTGGCTCTGATATGTGCCTTATTGCTCGTAAATATAGCAAAAAAAGCGGGATGATACAGTTATGGTTGGCAGTCACGAAGAGGTTAAAAACTAGTTTTGTTCCTTCGAAACAAGAAGCCATTGAATCATTTATTTGATACTGTACGTCGGTAGCAACTCCTTCATTATACTAAATATATATATAAATAAGTATTTCTATATTGATATCAGCAAATATAGACAGATAGATAATTGCTACATATGAATTTTACTAAACTACTAAACATTTTTGTTCTTCTCGCTTTTCTATTATTTTCCTCCTCCATAATATTTCTCTCGTCCTTTTTATACCTTTATTTCCTTCTTCTTGAATTTCTCATTTTTTGCACCATTTCCTATTATTCCACATTTGTCAAAAGTATTTTCGAGCGCCTCGCGTTCCAATTTACACAACCTGCATATTTTCTTCTCTTCTTCTGCCCAGTATCTTGCAGTCCTATTCTCACTTCCCACTCTAAATCTTGCTGTTAACACTAATTCGTTTTTACTTTTTGCTCTTTCGCCATTCAAATAATGTGATTTTTCTTTCCTTTCCTTTCATATTTTCTTGTATTCCTGAGGGAATTTTAAGTTTCTCATTTTTCTCTTTTTCTTTTGTTTATCAATATCTTTAGTTAAACTTTCAAGCTCTTTGCATATACATCAGTGGCGAAATAACTCTTATTGTTTTTTTTTGTTGTAAATATTATTTTTCTACGCATTCTTCTTCATTCAAATTTGTTGCATTTCAAATATTATTTCAGTTCATTACAATTTCTTATCTTGTGCATATCTTGGTTTCCTTTCAATCTAAACTCTATTGTTCTCTCAATCACTTTTACCTGGAAATCCAACTTCAACCATACCTGCATGCACTCCCATACTAATATCTGGTTTGAATTTGAATTTTTATTATACCATTTTTGAACTGCTACAGTGATGTTTTGACTGATTTCGTTTTGCTGTCAGTTGCGTTTCCTTATATCACGTTTTATGTCAAGTTCCACGGGAACGGGATAAAGAAGTATCCTATGTCCTTCTCCTGGTTGTAAGCTATCTCCCCACCAATTTTCAGCCAAATCGGTTCAGTCGTTCTAGAGTTATAAAAAGTGTAACTAAAACGACTTTCTTTTATATATATAGATATACATAGGAATGATAATGATAAAGAGCGTAGTATATCCTTAATAGTTTACCTCAGTCTTAATTTAGAATATAACACACAAAAATATTTAAAACTCACAAGTCGATTTGGCATCACTGACTGTATATCTCAATTTAGACTATTAAATTACAGCAACTGTAGAATTTTAACACAGGAAAAACAAAAATAATTACCGAACCATTCTGAAAATCTTACTTTAAAATGAATGATGTATCGCAAAGATTAATGCTTCCATGACAATGTCTAAGTAAAAAATTTTATTCAAATCGCATTGGGCGTCTTCAAGTTATTAAAAAACAACTATACTACTGTTAAACAATTGTTACCGGCAATGATCGACAGAGGAATTTATTTTCTTCGAAATTGTTGAAAATTTGTTTTTGAATAAATGACAAAAATGAAGCTAAAGAAAAAATCACTGACATACTTATTTAGCCCTCAAAAAAATGTTCTGAACAATTGTATCTTAGGCTAGGGTAATTTTAAGCGATATCGTATTTCAAGAAAATTGGTGTGTAAATTAAAAATTACCATTGTCGTAGGCATGTCTACACACCAGATTTTATCGAAATCAGTCAGAAGCATGTATGAGAAATCAAAGAATAATTTTTTTTTTATATTTTTGGTGCCTTTCCACGGAAAAACGAATATATTTAGTATAGAGATAAGTTCCGTTCAATCGACTTTGATTTCAAGAACCTGTTTGTATAGTTTTGAGATACCCCGTACATACCTTTCTTTCCTGATGTACCTTCTAATCCCAAACGGTATACAAATCATTATTCGAATGATACCTATGATAAAATTTTGACAATGCAATGATTAGGTCTATGAATTTTTTTATTTTTGGTGTAATTTTAAATATTTACATCGTCAGTAGTAATTATAGTTCAAAATATATGCCCTGTATGTCAAATTGAAGTTATTGATGATATCCAACTGTGAAGATTGGTAACGTTGGCATAATATGATACTCCCTTACAATCGTAGCCAAAGGAAACAACACCAATGAGGGTATTTCCTACAGCCAAAGGGCCTCCGGAGTCACCCTGTTTTAAACAAAGTAGTTAGTATTAATCCTTCATATAGAGTTCTTTTTTAAACTGTAATCGTCATTTAATTTTACGCTAAGTCATAAATCAGTTTATTTGTAAACATTTATGAAGACCGATTATGTATATTTTCTGTACATGCACAGTTACGTAAAACAATTTGTACCAAAAGAAAAATACTTACAAAACAGGAACTTTGGATTTCAGACTCGTTGCCTGCACATAACTGTGATTCATTAATTACTTCTGGACATTCGTTGTTGCTAACAACTGGTAGTGTAACTTTTTGTAATTGTATTGGGGCGGTATCATTATCACCGCCAGCTAAGTATCCCCAACCAGAAACGACAGCCAATGTTCCTGCTGCAACTTTCCTATTCGCAAGAGAAATTGCAGCTATTGTTGGACCAAAAGAAAGTGCTGAAGCGAGTTTTATTAAACCTATGTCACAGTTTACTGTTTGAAGATTATAATTGGGATGGACATATACATCTGAGGCCTGTATCACCACACCACCCTTCAAGAATTGGTCTGTTCCCGCTCGGATGCTTACGTTTGCGGCATCCAATCTAAAAATAATTAGAAAAATTTAATCAGTGGAAAGGAAATATTGTAGTATACAGATATATAATAAAAGAGGCAATTTTGTTATAATAAACAGTGGTACGGGGTGAAACCTTCTCAAGCATGAAGGTCTAGTCCGAGACATATTAGAGGCAGAAACGGGAGTTAGGAGGGGTAGAGGTAGACCTAGATTAGATTACTCTTTACAAATAGTTAAGGATGTGAGTTGTTCTAGTTTTATGAAAGGGAAATGTTAAGATTAGCTCAGGATAGGAAAGAATGGAAGTGCGTGTCCAATCAGTCTTAGGACTAACGACTTTATGATGATAATGAATAATGTTTACAAAAAGATTGCATTTTTTGAATCTGACGCAAATCTAAGGACAGATTCAGACGTGCGTTTTTTGTTGATAAAAAGAACTGACTGCAGCTTAAGTATTTACTAAAAAAGAAAATTGCCAATAATAGATATCTATCTTTAACCAAGATAGATTCTAACCGTACCTTGAGATAATTAACTGTTAAACAAATTAAAAATACCTAGTAAATCCTAAGTATACAATTTTGTTACTTTATTGGAATGTTATTAATTGTTAGAAAGAGTAGTATTTATTAAAATATTCTTATTTGTTGATTTCATAGAAGACAACCCTACAGTGGTACATGCGAAATACCGTTATTTATACAGTTATTATATTCTCAATATTTTTAGCGAGTGCAAACTTGCAGATAACTGCATAGATGACTGGTACAGGTTGGCTGTAACATAAACGTCCTAAATCAGACTTAATGTAATCTAACAAATAACAAACAGTACATGAACAAAAAATTACATTTATCTGTATTGTTAAATACATTTTTTTGGAAAATGGTGAACTTTCGAACACATAAACATCTACTTAATTTTCTTGTTTTATGGGGCCCTATCATCTTCTGGAAACCCCGTACTTATTTTAGTTATAATTGTATTTAAACAACCAAATATGTCCATGGAGGATCAGATAGATTACAGTATGATTCAAAATAAATATAAAACGCAAATCTTAAATCGTCAATGGAATATGAGTACAACCTATTCATTTCGTGGACGACGGTGCGCCACTAGCAGATAGGTCGGAATGACTCGAAAAAGTATTTTACAGGTATGGGTCTGGTATCCACACAGTTTGGACTCAAAGAAAACGTATGCAAAACAAAACTCGTATTTTCAAAATCTAAACCAACTTATAACCTAGTTAATTTGAATAACACCCTCATCGAGTAAGTGGAACGCTTCAAATATTTGAGCAGCATAATAACCCAGACTAGCCGATATAATAGCAAGCGCATGTGCTCAAACCTGACAAAGGTGTAATTCTGGGATGTTGAATTGTGTAGTAGCGAAGGATGCATGATGTCAGCCTGAGAGAAAGGCTGAAAGACCTTGAAATGGGTTATTGGAGACAAATGGAAAGGATTTGTTAGACGGAAAAGAAGACAAATAAAGAAGTTCTACGTATGTTGAATGAAAAGAGAAATTTATCGAAAATCGTTGAAAATATGAGAAAAATGTTGCTAAGATATTTGACACGATACGACGAATTCATAAAGACCATAACGGAAAAAAAAATAGAAGACAAAAGTAAAAGTGGAAGGCCTAGGAGAACATTATGTCTGTTAATAGCAAAGTATTTTACTATAAATCGCAGGAAAATGGTAATTCTGATTCAATAGTAATATTTGTACAACGTCTTTATTTCTACTATGGTTCATCGCAAAATTTTAGTAGGTTTAGTAGGAATTGCAAGCATTGTATAGCAGTGAAGAGTTGGTATATGAACGTGCTTAGTGCTGAAGGTCTACAAATGTCAGTATTGGATAACAATCATTCTTTCTCTGTAATTTGTAGGAAAATACTTTGTGAGTACTACCAGATAGTTGATTTTGAAACTTCATAATCAAATATAAAAAGTTGAATTTTATAAGACACAGGCGAAGAAAACATATTTTATCGTCGAAACTGTTACAGATGCAGTACCTTGCAAATGTACAAAAAATGTAGATACGAAAAATACCGTTTCAAAAAAAGCTTATTAGAGTAATTAATCGAACCTAATTTGTTTAAGGGTAGCAGCAGTTTTTGCCTTTACCATTTTTAGTAAAATTGATAAGCATATCAAAAATTAATGCCTCCATGACAATACCTATGTAAAATTTTTTTCAAATCACATTGGACGTTTTAAAGAACTGTTATCGATAGAGGAAACTTTTTTCTCCGAATTTGTTGCAAAAACATGAAGTTAAGGTATCTACCTTTTCAAGAAAAAAATTACAGACATACTTGTCTAACCCTCTAAAAAATTCCGAGCAATTGTCTCTAAGAGATGCATTAAATATTAGCACTTTTATAGACCCACCTATCCGTTTTTATTGAAATCGTCTCTCACGGGCATACGAATGAATTTGGTATATAGATCAGTTGAGTTTAATCGACTTATTTTGATCCCAAAAACTTGTGGTTGCTCTATGTTCACAGAGTGTTGGGACGCCCTGTATATATCTACCTACACAATTTTATTTTTTTTTTGTAAGTTTGTTTTTTCCCGATTGCAAATGCAAATCATTAGCTAATAATACTTAGGATCATATTAACACAGTAAGCATGAGCATCACAACAACGTACAACAACAATACTTGGGCAGAATATGCTTTATTTTTGGTATAATCTCAATTATCTACATTGTTAGTAACAATTATTATTCAAAATACATGCTTTGTTCAAAATACATTGCTTTATAGGGCTGTGTGTTAAATCGACGCTATTGATGATATCCAGCTATGAAGATCAGTAATGTTGGCATAAAGAGATATTCCATTACAGTCGTAGCCAAACGAAACAACACCAATGAGGGTATTTCCTACAGCCAAGGGGCCTCCAGAATCACCCTGTTTTAAACAAATCAATATTAATCCTTCATAGACTGTTCCTTCTTGAACTACAGTCGTCATCTAATTTTAAGATACCTCATAAAACTGCTTGTTTGTAAACATTTATGAGGACCATGTATGCATATTTTCTGTACATGCACAATTACTTAAGACAATTCGTTAAAAATGAATAACACTTACAGAACAGGGACTTTGGATTTTAGACTTGCTGCCTGCGCATAGCTTTAATTGAGTAATTTTTTCAGGACATTCGCTGTCCCTAACAACTGGTAGTGTAACTTTTTGTAATTGTGTTGGAGCGGTATCATTATCACCGCCAGCTAAATATCCCCAACCAGAAACGACAGCCAATGTTCCCGCTGCAACTTTCCTATTCGCAAGAGAAATTGCAGCTATTGTTGGGCCAAAAGAAAGTGCTGAAGCAAGTCTGATTAAACCTATGTCATAATCCAAGGTATCAGAGTTGTAATTAGGATGAACATATACATTTGAGGCCCGTATTACGACACCACCCTTCAAGAATTGGTCTGTTCCCGCTCGAACGCTTACGTTTACAGCACGCAATCTGAAAATAATTGGAGAAATTAAACAGTGGAAGATATTGTAGTATCTACAGATATTATTGCGTAAACATCTTTTGTACTACTCACTAGTTTCTTTAACTATTTACTCTTTTATTAACGCTGCTAAGTAACTACTCGATTACTATAATGTCACACGCTCTATCGCTTCTTCGCTCTTCTTAATTCGTATTCTTTTAGCTCGCAACTAGGACCTCGAACTGAACTCTGCCAACCCCGGCGCAACTACTTATAGGGCAGAACTTGTTCTATAAGGATTCTAAAATATGAGACTTTCCACTACAGGCCTTGTGACATATAGTGGGTTGTCTTCACGTTACCGATCAATATGGACCACCTACTTTTTAGGGGCCCTTTCTAAATTCAATAGCCAATGTCATTGATGTGGTGAGTAACAGTGCATGGGTTATCCCAAGCCTGATGAGTTTCAGACAATGTACCTTCTATAATGATGGATTATATAGCCACACTTTGTCGCTTTCAATAAAACCAGCAGAGTTGGTTCGATGATCGTAGCCGATTGTGGTCACTTTCGAAGCTTCGTAAGCACAGCACGAATGGCTTCTAGTCGTTCTTGTAGTTTGCACACGTAGTCGTCTATAGATAATGAAGAGCCTCCAGGGCGTTGAAATATGTTTGAGTTCTTTCCGAAATAAGGTGTTTTTCTAATTGTCTCATGGACAGTAAATCTATGAATAAGAGAAAAAGGGCTTATGACGGACGCAGTCAATTTGGTGGTCGTTGACGAAGATTCTTAAATTGGTCCTCGCACTAGCGTTAAAATGTTCAACCATCCCGTCAGAGTGTTAATGTAAGGGAGGTTTCCTCGTTTTTGTAATTCCCGGCAGTTCAGTCACCTTCTTGAACAAAGCCGACTCCTACCTTGGCAGGAATGCAATTAACTCCAGCTAGTGACAAGCCTTTCTGCAAAGATATGTACTTCCCGACTTAGCATCATGTATGCTTAGGACCACTTGTATCGGTTATTACAGTCTGCCGTTGAGAGAAAAAGCGCTTTTACGCCGTACTGTAGCATTCGTCCACGACTTCTCGTCTTCTATCCCTTATTGTCGTATATCATCCACCAGTGTTCCACGTTGCTTCTACTTCGTAAACAATAAAATCGCTCGCGTACTCTCCCTAAAGTTTTTGTAATAACGAAATGTCCTTTCTGAATTGATTGAAAGACACTCAGTTCTTCGGAAGTATTGTTAGAAGCTTTCTTTATACTGAATCTCCCGCAGTGGGGCCCAATAAATTTTTGTGTTCTGGCTTAGACAACTAACATTTGCCTTTTCCATCTCTTTACTTTTTCATTACATTCGTCTTTCCTCTAATCTTTGATTAATTCATTATCTTCCCAGAAGTATTCAGATTGAATGGTGTTTAGATAACAACAGATCGATGTCAATCGTTCTGATCCGCAGATGAACAATGTTTGCAGTTTTCCACCCAAGGTCTCCAGGATAGTGCGTCTGTTACCGAGTTGTTTGCCTGATCGATGTTCGATATCGAGCTCATATTTCTGCAGTCGTTCTAACCAGCTTCTTCAACTTTTGTTCGTACAGGTACTTACGCAAATGATCCAGAGCTTCAACCACACCAAATATAGCTATCGAAGGGTGACACAGTAGTTTCGTTCATGTTTCGACAGTGCTTAACTAAAGTATCCTATGACTTTTTCCTTCAAGATCTTGAGAACACACCAGTAAGCCCCACATAACTAGCATCGACGAACTGTTCATTGAATTATAGATTTGTCAAAATTGGGGCTCCAGAAAGGGTAACCGAAGTTCATTTAGATCCCTTCGTACGGTATCTGTTCTTCACTTCACTTCACTTCACTCACGTTTTGGCCTCGAAGGTTCTTTCCAATATTATGATGTCATCTAAGTAAACCAAATAAATTTTCCCGTTTAATCTTTGTAATACAGTATCCATTAGTCTTTCGAATATAGGAAGTGCATTACACAATCCAAAAAGCATTGTCATAGACTATTTCCAGTCTTCTCAAACTTCTACGTACCGGAATCCGCTATTTAAATCGAAAGTAAAAAAACAGTTTATCTCCAGCTAATGATTGCAGCATGACTGTATGACTTCATCAGTGATGGTCTGGAATTCAACCCTCGATGTATTTTCTGGAGTGACTCTCCACTGTTAAGTATCGCATGGATTCACCACAAGAATGAGTGGAGCCCACTTGTCTGGAATCAAATAACAGAAATTTGCAAACTCTCCCCTATTGCGGCCCAGTCACTTGAACTCCACGGATCATCCATCTAGAGGATGTACTCCTCAATATTTGAATACATCGAAATAGTGAAAGCGTCTGGGATAATCCTAGAAAATCGCAGATTTGTGTTCCAAAGGGGATATCGAGTGGGAGGAAGAAGAGATAGTTGAAGAACGGAAGAAAACTTTGGCCTCTATTATGCTAAACTTTAGTTCGGATAAATGGCACTTGTCTATGTACCATCAAAATATACGACTTGTTGCTTATATTTTTCGTTTGTGTTCAACTTACGAAATCAAAACAAAAAACATACTAGCAACTTAACTACGGAGGAGATTGAACAGGCTGAAGTATTCGTTCCTAAAATTCTTCAACATAAAGTCTTTTTTAATGAAGTTTTAGGGGCGTACGACTTGAAGCATGTTAGACAGAGGAGCCATATGTGGATCGGGGGTACAGTCTGGCCCATTAGGAGGGCTGCATACTTGTGGTGAAAGTACATGCGAAAAGCATAGCAGGTCGGGCGAGCCAGGAGGCTGAAGGGCGTCCAGTGATAACGTGGATATAGCTGCAACCGAAGGCAACCAGTAACGAGTGCATCGGAGTAAGTGATGACGACCGGAGGACTTCTATCGGTACTCGGGAGGCAGAGGAACCTTCGGAGTTTAGCTTCAATTCCTGCCCAATTGGTATTGGACTCGAGGTGACACTTGGGTACAGCCCGCTTGCTGGGTTAGGGGGCTGTGCAGCGGATCGCCTGGTTCGATGTGTAGTCCCTGCACTGAACGCTTAAGAGTTTGAATAGGCCTAAATCTGGGGGTTACTTGCCTCGTTAACCATCAGACACCTCCTTGGTGGCTCCCTGGGACCAATCCTGTTCACCAGTACGCATTGTGTAAGTGCTGATATTTAAGTAAATACTATGCTCTCAAAAAAGATCCAATTCAGTGATGACTTCATCTACTATATCGGCCACTGATATTCAACTATATAAGATTGCATTTGCAATTGTAATTTTTACATGGTTTGGTGAAGTCTCTTTGGTTGCTATACTCAAGTTCAGAATCATTTCCAAGGGACGAATTCTCCATTCCGTTACTACACCAGGTCGAATGATATTTTCGATTCTCTTATGTTAATGACCATTCTAATACAAAAATAAAATACAATAAATTCGCACTGCTCACTAATTTATTAAACTATTTAAGTACTCTTTAATTAACACCACTGTTATGAATTAATTACTCACTTTATCGCTTTTTCGCTCTTTTAGGCAGTCCATTAGAGTCTCAATGGCGGGTTGCTTGCATTATACTAAAAGGTCCAGTTTTATCATAATGGATGTTAGTGGAACGATATACTCTCGGTTTTGAGTGTATAAAAGTTAAAGGAAAGCCGTTACGTATAAAAAGTCCACATGCGAAACGATAGCATATTAATAATTGTTTTGACCTTTTCTTCTTTTTTCTCCATGTTAACCCATATTTTCGTTGAGCTATACAGCTTATTTCAAACTCAAAATGTGAAATATTCTTAAAGATGTCCCGAATTAATGATGTACACAATACTCGTAGTAAGCACAAAGCCAGTGGATATTTGACGTCTCTGTGAAACGAATCACTGCCCTGACCCTCAAGTTTTTTCAAAATTCCTTTGACTAATCGAGTGTTCATCGTCTATCAATTGGCATTTGGAGAAAATATGACCGCCAAGTCGGCATTCGGCGGATCAAATGACTGCGCTTCTTTCTCTGTTTCTGGTAAGCACTTCCAGCAGCGGTATCAGAGACGGTCAAGAGTTTCAATCGAGGGGTGGTTGAAACCTGCCCTTCCGCGGCCACTGCTCGCTCGTTACTGTTTGCTGCTGTTGTATACTTAATTGATTTCATGTAGAGTGTGATTTTACCGTATAAATCTAGAAATTCAATAAATGAATTATTTTTGATGCTCAAATACCTATTTTAGCTAGCAGCCAGGTATTTTCAGATGAACGTCGATGTACAAATTGAAATCGGCTGCCGATCATTTTCCGCTGGATTTGTTTTTCATAAATTTTCATTTACGTTAAAAACAGATTTAAATATTTTTTTAACGAATGTCAAACTCGTCGTAGGAGGATGGCTATTTTCTTCTATTCATGTTATTGTACTTATGTATTGTATGAGACGTTTCGACGGTAATCAGTTGTCTGCTACCGTAAGCCGCATAGAAGAATTTCGTTCTAATAATAAAATGCTGCTTTTAAATGGTCTTGTATACGGTTCAAAGTTTCAAAAGCTCCCCTACTGAAATAATTCTGTTGGCTCTGGGGCTTAGCGCCAATGGTACTCACCAATCGTAAGTGGTTCATAGCGCCAATTAAGAAATATTTTTTTTTACTACTTCAATTGTTAAATGTTATTAAATTAGAATTTTACCAACAACCACAACTGACACCCCGACACTAGTTGACACCAGTCTGTAAAGTTCATCCAAAGTTAAGGATGTTTGGGAGGTACAGTCGGAGACAAGAGTACATAAAATTAGAAATTCGTGATTAATTAGGTTTTGCAGCATATCATGAGGTAAATAAATACTATCTATACTAATAAAGAAGTACACGGTTTGAGAGAAAATTTGGAATTTGACCAAAAACCTTAAATAAAATAAGAAATAACGAATAATATGGAAAATTTTTAACTGACTTTTGGCAGTGAATATGCTTTGATTTCAACTTCGAAACAAAAAATATTTAGTTTCAATCTCTAATAATAATGAGCATTAAACTTTTTAATATGTTTAAATAATAATTAAACTTTAAAATTGCATTTATTTCAGACAATTATAAATATTATCATTATATTATCAAGTAAAAACGAGATTTTCAGCTAATTTTTCATTTTTTCCTCGATAACCATTTAGTGAATTTGAATAACCTTACGCTAAAGTGATTCTCCAGAGTTCAAGTTACTTATTATAAAAGTTTGAAATTTCTGGTAGCTTTTTTTCTGTTAATAAAAATAAATTTAATCTGTTCGGTTAACGAATCTCCATAAAATAACGTTTGAACGGTTTAGTGAATCGGTTTGTAATTTTTACAGGAGTTTTAGAATTGAATGAGAAACGTTCTTCCAAATTTTTATTTGTCTTGTAGCATTTTGACATACCTCCCAAATATCCTTAAAATAATTGTTGAATAGTTTTTCATCCCAACTGATACCATGTATGTTACATAATATAACAAACTCTCGACATTTAGAGAGGTTGTTATTATTGTTATTGATAAGATGAACTGACAGCAGCTCAAGTACCTATTTATTGAAAAAGGAAAATTCCAATAACAAGATTAGATAGATTCTTGCCGTCATCATCATCATAAGATCGTCAGTCCTAAGACTGGTTGGACACGCACTTCAAATTATTATTGTGATTCATCCCGTACTTCGTGATAATTAATTTTTGAACAAATTAAATTTTGTCTCTATTAGACTGCTATTAACTGCAACTATAGTTTCAGTATACTTCTCAAACGATTACATATAGTTGCGCTTAGTACCTAGCAGTCTAATGAAACTATGTAGTTACTAATCTTTAGTTTCTTGCAATTAACGTTTATCTGTTTGGAATTAGTGAAATGTGATTAAACAAAGCACTTGTTTATTAATTTAAATTAAATTGGTTTTGCACAATTGTAATGTAGTTAGACGCCACATTTCCACCGGAGTGAAATTAAATTGTACTACGCTATCATGGGTTTTAACACCCACTAAAGAATTAAAAAGTGTGATGGGATAACTCGAATTGATTCGGCTACAGTGAAAAGGAAGTCGCTGTATTTTGTAATTAGTCTTTTCAGAATAAGTTACAGATAAGAATTAAGTAAGCATATTTGAAACAGAAAGTAAATGTATGTATTTTTCATTTTGTATTTGTATTTTAAATAGGACTATTTCAAATGAATCACATCTTTCTGTTAATATCTAATACTAAAAAATAAACTATTAATTATTTAAAGAGACAATAATGAGAACTAGATCAGGTGATGTACTTTAGTTTTTCGAAATTTTAATATAATTTTGACTGTATAACAAATCAATTGTTGAGTTGTAAATTTTATCGTATACAATTTCTTTGAAGAATCCTACAAAAATTGGATGAAGCGTGGAATGTATTGCGGTTGAAAAAACTACATATATCACCTGATCGAATTAAAATTACACGTCAGGGAAAATATGGAAACTTGTTAACTTTTAAATAACGTACCCTTCTAAACAGTGGCTCGCTGAGACTACCCAAGTTCGTGAAATGATTGACCCACCACACTGTGGACCACCATTCTTATAAACTTGCACAATGTAAGGAATTTCGTTAATTGTTGCAGAGCTTCCTCCGACAATTTTGGTAGATGGCTGCGATAGTGAAGATCCAGTTTGCTGATGGGGGAAAGCTATAGGAAATCTCAAATATTATCTAAGTATATATTTAACGCTAAAGATTATACCAGTATTAATCAATAAAAATTTACCTAAAGCAAAAGGCACAAAGGCCACGAAAACTAACACGCCCATCATCGTGATCGATATACGTACAACTTGCCTCGAAATAGGAGTCTTTCTTATACTACGGGTATTTCTTATCTTAGCATTTCGTTATTAGATTTACATTGACATTTTAGCAAAGTGTTCGTTATCACGTAAATACAAAAAATGAGTAAACATTAATAAGATAGAATGGTGGCCCTGTCAGAAAGCCTCCTGATAAGATGCTACAAAAAAATACATGTGTCATCCTACACAGGCAGTTAAATCAGTCACATGCATGTGACAGTGCTTTAAAACTGATCAAAAATACTAACCTTTATTACACATGATCAAAAGCCGAATACCCCACACCTAGACGGCAACTAGAAGCTTTTTTCGCATACATTGATACTAGCAGATTGAATATGGCGTTGCGTTGTCGCATTTCTATCTAGAGCCGGAATTGCATTTTTCTATTCTTTCAACTACGATTTTCTCGTTAATGAAACATTACTTAATTTTCTTGTTTTATAGTGGCCTTTCATGTCCAGCAAGCTCTGAACTTATTTCTGATACCTTCTGTATATGTAAGCAAATTATCTCGAAATAGAAGCAATCCCCATTTATTATTTCACTGTTTCGTTATTAGATATAATATTTGTTTTGGCTCCTTAATCTTTTGCTTTGTAAGGAATTATTTGAATTTATAGCAAAATATACATTACCATGTAAGTAAAAAAATAAATAAAGAATAAGATAAAATGGTGGTCCAGACATAAAACCTTCCGATAGAGAGCTTATCATGTACAGAAGATAGCAAATAAGCTATAATAGTCGTTGTCATGGGCAACATTAGGTCTACTTCAGTTATACGATCATGGGATTGTGTGGGCTTTATATACCTGTCCTTGTACGCAATTAATCGTTTTCTTTTTCGGTTTTTTGGTGAAAAGTGATATTATAACCAAAAATGTACATCAACAGAAATAATTCATTTCCACCCAGTTTTGTCGAGTACTTTATCCATGTCAATGTCAATGCACTTTTGCTGATAAACAATGATTTTCCGTTTACACATTGGGGCACAATTTTCGTTGTGATAGGTACGTAGTTTTTCTAACATGTTTACTGTGATCTAATGGACCTTAACGCGAGTGCATTATCTTCTACTGATCCCTAACAATACCAAACATAAACAATAACATTACACTAAAAAGCAACTGATTCTGACCTACTGAAGGTGAAGTTTCCTACAATCAACTGGCAATTGTAACTAATTTGCAATTGTGCAGGGCCGGCATCAAAACTATTATTACTTTATAATGTTCAAAAGTCAAAAGTGTTATAACATTTTATGTTCCAAATGTCCGTAGGAATCTGTGGTATAAATATTAATTATTATAAATGAAACACCCTATATAAAGTACAGAAGTAACGTTAATATTGTGTATGATGCTATTATAGCGATTTTCGCAGCATAATACTTTGGCTACAATTTACTGGAACACTTTGAAAATAACTACGAGAATTCCAAGACCGTATAAATGTGCTACTAGTTCCCAAAGATACATTGACGGTTTTAGTACCTTTAGCGCCTCTCAGCAAATCTTAAACGGCGACCTCATAAGAGTGGCATTTCTAAGGTTTTCAAATCTTGTGGCAATTGTCACTATCAGATGTATTTATTGAAGTTCCCATATAAATTTTAAATCAATTATTAAATTCAAATATGTGATGGTATGGGCTATTAAAACGTTCTAATGAGGGCCACACAACCTAATCAATTAGACGTAGACATTTAAACGCGAAGAGTTTTAATAGTATTGCAACTGATTGAGACGACTCTGTAGTTGTATTCACAAAATTGCAACACGTGGCTGCATACTGCTTTTAATTTAATAAAAATCAAAATTCAAATCTAGAAAACAAAACAGCACATATGAGTTAAGTCAGTCGAAACAATACCAATGAGGGTGTTTCCTACAGCCAAAGGACCTCATCACTATATACGTAATTAAAGGAATAAATTAAAAGAGCGGAAGGCGTTTGATAGTGATAGCGACAGTAACAATAATTCAATAATTTTTAAATTGAACAGATACTAGTTCTTCTTCTTTGTGATAATTTATTCATCAATTAAAAATAGTTAACAAGTCTTTTTGCCACTTTATCAGACTGTTACAAACCGCAACTGTAGTATAAATACAATAAGTATAATAAATATAATTTTGTGTAACTCTGATGTGGCTGATACATATCTAGAGGAATAGAATCAAATTTTATTAATCCATTATGGTTTGATAGGATAACAACATGACTCAGCTACGATGAAAACTACACTATATATAAAACCTTGTTGGAGCATACGTAATCCTAAAATATAGCATCGTACTACAGATGGCGCTCACCACGCCATTTGTAGTATTTTCTAAAACGCGCTGTTAAGACAGCAGGTAAAGGTTGGCCTGTGTTCTGTCGGAGCTGCCTACGACGCGCTGATGAGATCCGCGTCTGGCAGTTTCGACAGAATACAGACCACTTCGAATTATTTTGTACACCATATATTTTTAAAATAAGTCCAAAAACTATCCAGAAACAAACAATATTTAATGAAAATACTAAAACTTAATTAACGGTTAATCTTCCCCTCTAAGCAGTGACCCAAAGCCTTGAAATGATTGAGCCGCCGCAGTTTGGATAACCCTCACTTATTTGCACAATATAAGGAATTTCGTTAATTGTTGCAGAGCATCCCTCTACAATTCTGACAGATAGTCCTCTTGGTACAGCTATAGAAAAGTTCAAACATCTAACGCTAATAGTTAGTGTTATATTAGTAAGCAAGTATTCTCAGAATATAAAAATACTTAAAGCAAAAGGTGCAAAAGCCGCGAAAGTGAGTAGGCCAATCATCTTCATCGATACACGTACAAATTATTTCGAAGAACCGTATAATTCTTCATTGTAATGATATTTCTTGCCTGAGTATGTATTACCTTATAAAATTAAATTTTTAATGTGATTTCTGTATCAGTTCATCGGCAAAAAATTACGAGAATCTGTAGCGAAATATAGATTATTCGCAAAAATAAAAAAAAACAAATAAGATAAACATTGCGAGCCTGCCAAAGAGCCTGTCGATAAGACAGCCACAAAAAATGACCCGTGTCATTAGAAAAAATCGTCGTATGCTACGTGACAGTGCTTCAACAACAGTGACTTTGACAGAATAAATACTCGTAATTTAACCAAATCAGGTCCTGATCGTCAAGAAGATATCTTAAGTAACTAATATAGAGGTACCGTGAGAGACTAAAGAATTTCTCCATATCTTTTGTAATATAGGTATCGATTAAATTGACTAATCATTTTTTGTTGTACTGCTTATTGTTATCTAAATTAAAATGTACCAATTGTTTTTATTTAAGTATTTCGAATTTTTTATAATACAAATTCTATTTTTTATTAATATAAAATTGCGTTCGAAGTTATGTTTTTGATTGTTAACGGGGAAAATATATCTATAGGTAATAAGAATTTTCAATGATATCAAAAATGTACATCA